GGTAAAATCGTTTTTCTTGCTCAAATTCCCTTTCTCTAAGTTCTAGTTCCTTCTTCTTGTTCTAGTTTCCATTTTTCAAAATCTTGGGAGGTTTGTATATTTTCTCCCTCTGAGGTCCCTCAGTTCAATACAGGTCCCTCAGTTTCTTCCTCACACTGAGTTTGAGGGTTCCCATTTTCCTCAGCACTCGGGGGCTTAACATGTAACTCTATAACTGACTTTTTACTTCTTTTGGGTGGCATAAACAAAACAATTTCTTATTAACCTGGACTGGTTCTTTTCCCCCACAAAAGCCAAAAGTACAAGCCTTTTTCTCTCTTTCAGCGGCTTTCCTGGTAATTAGGTTGTGTGTTTCCAAGCAGCTGGCCTCAGCTACTCCCAAGCTCACAACCCTTGTCACAATAATTCTCTGTCTTGGCGATTCTTGTCTCCAGATGCAAGAACAACTTCTGCTTAGCTTTTATTTTCACCTCAGATCTATCCTGACCTAGGCTTCCGCCACTGCCTTTTACCTTCAGAGCTCCAGATTTTGAGCTAGCCACTAGGTCTTGTAAATCCTGAGGTTAACAAAATGGTTTCTCTGGAGCAGGTATTTTCCTTCTCTTTGGATTCCCCAGATCTGGGTTCAGAAGCCCCCAAACTATGTCTTCACCAAAAGTTTAAAGGGTAACCACTTCTTACACAGCCAAAACTGTTCTCATGACCTGGGGTTCAATCCCAGGTAGCCGGCTCAAGGTTGACTCAGCCTTCTATCCTTCTGAGGTCAGTAAAATGAGTACCCAGCTCGCTGGGGAGGGGGATGTGTGGCCTGCATAATTAACTTGTAAACTGCCCAGAGAGTGCTTGAAGTGCTATTGAATGGTATATAAGCAGCATGCTTTTTGCTTTCTTACCACAGATACTAACCCCTTCTAGATAGGAATACCTTTCAACTCAAACCCCTTTAACTTTTCACTGGATTGCTTCAGATCCCAGATCTGTGCCACCAGTTTGTCATGATTCCATGTGACCCCTGATTGTTTCACCAAACACTACGTGCCCCTCAGCTGCCACCAGTTGATTTCATCAACAGTACCTATTCATAATCAAGGTCCGGGCCATATGTCATTTAAAAAGAACCAAATAGAAATTGTCTATTGATACAGGTGTTGACAGAACAAGCAATATTAACCCTTGAACAAACATTCTCCTTTATCTCTCTCAACCTCCGCTCTCCCACCCAAACTCCAAAATCTCTTTATCTCAAAACTATATGTCTATCTAGACTCCTCCTCCTGCTGGGTCTCTTATACCTCATTACTCTGCCCCTCCAGCACTCCCACTGGTCTCTGCAAATAGCAGATGAAAATTCATAACCTGGGTAAGCACCACAGGCTCCTTAAATAATTTCCGAGAATTTCAAAGGAACTATTTGCATAACATAGCTTTCTGGCCAACATCTTTGACCGCGCACAGGACCTTGAGAGACTGAGAGAAGGGCTTCTTGGAAGATCTTAAAAAGCAGATGGAATTGGGTGTCATCAGCACACTGGTGATACCAGACCACAGAATTCTGGACAGCCTCTTTCAGTTTTTTCATGTATATGTGAAACAGTACGGGGAATCATGGAACCCTGAAACACTCACTGCACAGGCTCATGGTCAAAGTGTTGAACAGGAGTCCCCCAGTACCACTACTATTCAGAAAGTGACGCCACACAAGGAAAACCCCCAGAAGCTGACTCCTTTTTTATCAATTGACCACTTCTCACCCAAACACAACACAATTGTCAGGGCTGTTTTTCAATGTGCGTGAACAGAAGAAGGTATCCTGTAGACCATCTTGACTGCTGCCATTGGTGTT